ATACTCAAACATTCGAAAAAGCTTTCATAATTATTTTTTAGCTACCTTTAAAACTATAGCCCCAAAGTTGTAACCAAAGTTCTCTCGGAAAGAAATATAGCCAAAACCAATATACTTATTTTACCTGCGTGAGCAGAGTATTAACCACAAAAACATAAAAAAATAGTCAAAAATTATGAAATAAAAGACAAATAGTCACAGCCAATACACTCTTTTGCAGTGTGTGAGCAAAGTTTAAGCCGCAACAAAACAATTAAAAGTCGTAAATTATAATAATTTTGGCAAATCGAATGAATCGACCATTCATGCATGCCTGATATATACATTTTGTTGTAAATAAATTATAAAATTTGCCTTATATACACATATATTTTAGGTATAGCATACAAATATCATGCGATGAAACCAGTTTTCACAAAATAAAATAATTATCTTAACATTTGTCATTTCCATATGTAGTATGTGCACAATAAATGGCTACAACAACCTTTTACCTGGCCCATAAATGGGCCTAAGACATGCAACTGTATCAATGACGTGAGTTTGAGAAGAAATTTAAATTTGAGCTGCAGAGCATTTTGGGTAGATGTATGGCAATATCATTTTAATAGCAGAGACATAAATCAAATGTGCCGACACGCGTGTATTTAAATCATTTGATTTCAGTGTTAACCAATTTACAACGCAAGCTTGGTTGGTTTCATCAAATGAAAAACCAAAAATCCCCCATACAAAATGAATGCAAATTTATTTGTATACAAACAACAAAAACAATGCAGACCCCATCGTTAAGGTCGCCGGAATCGCACTTTTACTTTTGACTGGATCAACATGATCTTTTCACACATAAAGTCAATACGTAGAAATGTACAATAATTATGCCTGGGTAAGATGGTAAATTAAACCATAAAGTGGTTAAAAGTTAAAAGCGGAAAGGCAAAAAGGCAGAATGAGACAAAAACAAAACAAGTATAATGATCTACTCGGTAGTGCACGACTATGAGACACCTTGCACTCAGCGCTGAGCTACCAAAAAGCTATCTTCTATTTATATATACATAAAAGCACATTTTATTCCACATAACCTGCTTTATCCTCATCCCCACACTATGGAAATTTTACTCTTGAATAACTTTAATGCTTATAGACTGATCTTTGTGTATATATAGCAAAGCGCTTGACTCTGCCTTAAAATATGATATGAACTTAGATCAGGGTGCCAATAACGATTATTATCCATTACGTAAGACCTGCTTCCGGTCAAATTTTCGATAATTTATTATAAGTATTGGGCATTCAATTGGACTTATGTATTTATTTTAGATATTAAATGCCTTTTTCGAAGTGAACACGGACAGACAGACGGCTAGAGCGAATCGGCTATTGATGTTGGACAATAATATTTATACCTTATTTGAGCGGCAACAGAAACCTCCCACTGTTTGTTACATACATTGGTACAACGTGATGATACCCTTCGACCAATATTTCAATGCATACAGGGTATCATGAACGGAAAACATTTTCACGGCCCTCACGAAATGATTTCTTTGCATGGGCCAAAGCAAAAGTTGGCTCCTTAACGATGACAAAACCAGATGTGAGTGATAGCAAAATGATGCCACAAGCAAACGAACGTTGAAGTGGTCAACGACAAAAAAACATCAACAAGATACAGCATAATAAATATATATGCACATCGATATATGTGTGTGAATATATATATATATATAAACAAAAAGAAATTATGAAATTTAAAAGTGTTACAACAAATCAAAAGCCACGCGACGCCGTAGCCAACACAATTACAACTCAATAGCCAAACAAGTTTCTGGCCGATGTCGCTGCTGCCAGCTATGGCTGCTGCTTCTGCTGCTGCTCTGTTGACTCTTCTTTGAAAGAAGTCCAACCAGGTGATCTTCGCAGCGTCTGCCTCAATCATTTGCCAGTCGGCGAGGCGTGCACAACACAAAACACAGTCTGAATATCTTAAACCGAATCTCTGATCATTTGATGGCCAACATGTTGCTGCTCGTCTTGGCGGTAAGCTATACTCTGCCTGAATGGGCCATCAATGACTGCCTCATTAAAATTTTTATGTTTGTCCATAAATTAATTTAGTTGTCGCTGATGAGCTGCGCCCAGTCGCAAGAATATCATTATCCGCGCCCGCAGTTTCCATTTCACCTGACGCCACAGCGCCCGGGGGCCCGTCAGCAGCCGACCAAGTTTATAGTGCAGACCTTTGGACCGCATGGACGCACGTATGAGCTGCAAACACACAAATCGCCGGCAATCTATGTGGCACATGAAACGTACGCTGTACCTGGCCATCAGCTGCAGCCACAGAGGCAATTCCAACATCATGTGCAGCAACCGCAGCAGCAAATGTCCAGCTCGTTGTACCAGAATCCGCTGCTGGTCAACACCAACTACCAAGCTGTCCCAGTTGGCCTGACCCCGCCACCACCGCCATCACCTGCTCCAGGTCAGTCTGTTACCTACTACACTCAGGCGCAGGCACAGAGCAACTTCCAGCAGTCAGCTGACAGCTATTATAGGCAGCCACAGGCTATGACAGTCGCCACCGCAACTCAAACGCAGCCAACCGCCAGCTATGGTCCGCCACAGGAGCAGCCACATTCGCCACACTATAGCAATCCACAGCCTTATGCCGTTGTCACGCTGCCGCAGGGTGAACGCGTACTGGATGCTGGTCACGGCTCGGGCCCTTTGCCCGCCGAAAGTGGACACTCGACGGGACCGACACGTGTGGGCGACTACAACGCCCAATCGCCAAGCGCCACACTGGATACGTACAACTATAAGCAGTCTGTGCCCGGTGATACGCGCAGCTATCAACGCTATGTGACCAACTGTCAGCCGAACGGGCAGTGCCAGCAACTGAATCTGAATCCAGGTCAGATTGATCCCGATCACCATCAACTGTTGCAGGCGGCGCGTGCGCAAACACAGCCAGCAAAAGGTAGCTGCCAAAAGGATAACTATGTGCCGCCGGGTGCCCAACCGAATGCCCAGGGCCAGCTGCGGCCGCGCGACAGGCGCACCTATGCGCACCTCCAAGAACAGCTGGCCAAGTATCCATATAATTAAATCGAATTTTTTAGTACCTGTTAGTTTTGTTAAAATATAAATAAAGTACCCTTAAGATGAACAACCTTCAAATGTTCCTGTAACTATTTTGTGTGTTTATTTTCCAAAGTAAAATTATGCTTTATGCACCGAACCAATTGAAAATGAGAAAATGTGTGCATAGTTATGTGCATATGTTCATATCTTTAAGGTCGAAGAAAGCGCGTCCAACCATTTAAATAATATATATATCAATTTAGCAATGTCTGTCATAAATATATATATATATATATAAAAGTATATATATATTTCTATAGAAGAATGTTAGAATGTTTTGAAGAGCAGCTCGGATCGGCCTTCAGATTACCTCCCAGTCGGGCACACACGACTAGAAATTCCTTACGTCTTTGATTATCTTTTTAAATATGAATTTAATTTTTACCATAAACTAGCAATATTTGAAATATTTTATATTAAGCATATACCTGTCATTATAACAGTGGTCTTAAGTAAACTTCTTAAAAGAATAACTTTTTGCTTATCAAAATATATGAAACAAGCAGCTTCGTGTCTCAATATGTCCCTTACTTTGCTATATAAGTATAACGTTTATAGGAACGCTATATATCAAGACAACTTACTTTAAAATAGATAACTTAATGCAAAATTTTAACGTTTTTACATATATTATTTGTTTCCATAATTAATGTTAAGAAGAAACAATTTAATGCCTACATTTCGAACAAAATACAATTTTAATGCCAGCCTAAGAGCATGCAACGTTTTTAATAAGACTTTAGCAACATTGTTGCGAGCAGTTCTATGAATTGTTTTGATTCTCTTGTATTCTTGTAAAATTGTTTAGTTGACATTATTGATATAGAAGTCTCTAAACCTCGAATAAAAAACCCAAACACAAGCTTTTCTAATAGGTAAGAAACAGTTGAGAAAAGCCGGGTATAAGACAAACTAAATATATTTGCATAAATATTTAAACAATACTTTTAAGTGAAATTTTATTGTTGCAGGTATTTTATTTTTGTATAACCACACTAAGATTCGAACGGATTCTATTTGTCCAGTTACCTTATTAACTCGGTCACTCATCCGAGCAGCGCTATAAATACAAATAAGAATGATTTCTACTGACATCACGATATTCTTCTTTTCTCCTTAATTGGGAAATTTTCAATATCAGATTGCTGCAAAACCCAAACATTTCGAAACCTGCTTTAAAGACTGCGCAGAAATCGTGCTTAGTCATTTGTTTAGCATTCGAGTGAGACACGCCAAGAAATATCTTCTTATTTTTGTTTGTCTTTTCTTTTGTTTTGTTTGCTGCTGACATTGTTAGTTACCAAATAAAAACACGTTTTAGCCCATGACGTCAAAAAGTGTATAAGAAAAATTCCCAGCAGCTGCTTGGCCATTCATCACATATGTAGTTGTGGGCCAAGTGCTGACAGTGGACTCTAAGTCCAGCGGAAATGTCACAAGCTGTGCAACGCAGAGGCACAAGAGCTGCATAAGTAAACAAGGTGTCAACGTACTTGCAAGGGCCACGCTTATGATGAAGCTTCCGCTGCTGCTGGGCTTGCAGACAGCTCTCTTTGGGACCGGAAACACAGACACTTGAACTAAGCGACGGAGACATTGGAAACTCTGGAAGTCCAAAATTGATTTTGCAAAAAAAAAAGGTAAACAAAAAAATCTCTATAATTAAAGGGAAGCGCGCCGCCTGGCTAAATGCTAATGACAAGCGCAATTAAACAAATTAGGCAACTAATAATTATTTTAGCGAAAAAATGTAAAAATATTTAAAAAAAAATAATACAAAAATGTTGCGACAGCCACAAAAGCATTCAAAACCACATTCCAAACACATTTGCGAAATTGCAATTTACAAATAAATAAATAATTTATTTCAGTGCTTAACGAAAACAAACATAAATGAACAAATTCGGAAATAACTAGAAACTTGCCCCGAACGCTGCCAGATTTAGAAATCCGTATTGTACTTTTTGTTCTCGCCGGGATTGACGCTATAAAGATCATAATCAAATTGATCCCATTCCGCATAGTCAGCGCCACGCGGCTTCGTGTTGCCCTTCTTCAGCTTTTGCAAGGCCTTCTTCTCCCGGCTAATGTCCACCGGATGTAGCTGCTTGCGTATAAGCTGCTCCTCGGCATTGATGGGCTGTGGCTCGCGCACGGGCGTGCTGGTCAGAAACTGTGACTCATCCATGCCCAAATCGGCGCCCGGACTCATTTCAGCCTCATAGAAGTTGGCAAAGTTTTGCAGCTGCATAGACTCCGCCGGATGGTGATCATAATAATCGGGCCTAATTAAGTTGTAGTTGTCCGTCAGTGTCATGGGCTGTTGTGGCTTGGACGCATAGGCAAGGATGGTCTCGCTGCTGGCGCCACTCAGATCAAAGTTCCTCTTATACGAGTTTTTACTGTAGCGTGGCAGGGCTTGACTTGTGGTCAGCACTAGGGCTAGACAGCAGCTGAGGAGCTAGGATTGGAAAATTGATAGTTCGCTCAAATATTTTGTGACAAATTTTGAATACTTACCATATTTCTGAAACTAGTCGCACACATCTTTAAAAAATTGTTCAGTTGCCTTTTCTCTTATATATTTTATATTAATATGCCTTGATTAAATTGTTTGTCTTATAAACTCCAATACTTTCTAATTCTTTAAATATAAATAAATGATTTGCAATTTTTTTTAATTCAAGTTCCTTGAATTTTTTACGCGCTACGTTTAAATCGAGCTCTTGAACACGTCTAATGTTCTGAGCGTTGTGTGTTTTTATATTTAAGGCGCGCATCAAGTTCAAGTCGAGAGAAAAAACATTTCACTGCCGCTTTTTTCTGAACTCTCTGTTCGCAATTTGAAAACGGGTATATTGGCTTTGAGCATGAGCGTCAATGCTAATGAATATTTCTTTTCGTGTCAGGTATTTTACATCTTCCATATTCTAAGAACTGAAATCAGCGTATTTTGCAGAAAGCCTACGGCTCAGCTTCTCTAAAGATCGAACCAAATATATTGTTACCACGCAGAAAAATTGGACAATTAACTGATTTAAACTTACAGTTTAAGAATCACCAAGAAAAACTCTTTGCGACAGAGCATTGCGCAGCCGATGACACCCGATAATTCAACGTTGTTATTTGTTAAATTTGTTGTTTGTTTTGGGTAAATCCGGTTCGCAAGCTCCGATTTCCAACTGTGCGACGACCATTTGACTGCCGCTGGCTGTTTCTCTGCTGGCTGCTGGCTGCCGGCTGCTGCCTTTGACTGACAAGCGGAGTGACTGACACACGCAGCAAACGTCAGCGCAGGTCAGCCAGGAGCTGCTTGGTGCAGCGTGCATCTGGAACAGGCGAGCAGTCGCGTCATGCGTCAGGTTGCATGTCAAGTTTATTGCGTATGAAAGAAAAGAAATGCAAATGCAAAAAACAAAACAAAAAGCAAAGAAACACAAATCCAGCTGCGACAGGGTCTTGCGACTATGCTTCTGGTTGTGGCACACATTTGGAAATGATTCATTCGAATTTGAATTGAGTTTTTATTCACCTTTGTTCAACTGTCTTCAATTACCTTATTGGCTAATTAATACATACATATTAAATGTAAATACAAAATAATATTAATTACACACGCTTTGTACCACTGAACTTTTGTGCAGTTAAAGCACTTGATTTCAGCTCACATATGAACGTAAAACATACACACGCGCGCACACACATGCACCTTACAAATTGGCACATCAATCAAAAGGTTTTATAATGCAACATTTTAATATTGTTATTTAATTACGGATTTGCTTTTTGCTGTGCATTGCCTGCAGCTTGCATCTCGTTTGCATTATTACAATATATTTCGATATCGTAAACCCAATTTAATAGTGCCCATTAAGTAAAAAACTAGCACAGATTTTTAATCGATTGGTTTTCGACAATGGTGCACATTAAATTGAACATAATTTTAAGTTACAAGATTTTAATTAACTGATATTTCTAATGTGAAGAAAAGGTAAAGAACTTTGGGTCATTTGATTGCTGAACCACTTCACAAACTGCTCGTGGTGAAGAATGGCTTCGGGAATTAGAGAACCAAGTAGAAAAAAGTAGAAAGAAAATAAAAGTAAATAAAAAAAATAATGAAAAAAAAATATTGCAAGAACAAATAAAGATAAGCGAAAAAACTTAAAGATAAGCTAAAAGGTTGAAAAATCATCAATTTTAATAATCAACCTCATATTGATGAATATGGGCGATAAATACTATAAAGTAAATATAAAGAAGAATAATAAATAATCTCAACAGAAGAAAGTAGAATGAAAGAACAAGATTATTGATTATTGATTGAAAAGATCTGCAACTAGAACTAAAAACATTAAAAATGATCAAAATAATTTAGAAAAAAATATTTAAAGAAATTGAATAAACAACTTGAGATTGATTCATACATTTTCAATACAAAGAAAAAACATCATGTCAAACAATATAATTAATTTGTAAATTAATAGCTCATAAGAAATCTGTAACCGAAATTCAAATGAACAAGTGTGACTTCATTTGGCGAAGCTGCTAAGAGAAATTAATATAAATTAAAATTGACTGTCAATCAGAGCCGCTTTCCATTAATTTATGTAAGATATTAAAAATAAGTGTTTGGCCTTTTTTTGTAAGTGGGAATCAACAAGCTTTTGTGTTGTTTGGAAAACCCTTACCCTTACCTTGCCAGGCCACCCACTGATGACAGCATTTGCATTCGGGCGACACTCTGCCTGGCACTGTTGCTTACGAAAATAATAATGAATTCCGTAAATAATTCCAGCAGCAGCAGCGGCAAACTCTGAGCCTTATTTTGCACTTACATTCACTCGTTTTTTGTTGATTTTTTTTATTTTTGTGTAAATTGTATATTACGTTGATTGTAAATTGGTGCGACGTTTTGTTGTTTGTGCCTAACAAAACCTTTTTTTTATTCATTGTTTTCGCTGCTGCAGTTGAACATGTTTGAGATCAAAGACATGTTTTTGGAAGTTGAGCTGCCGCGAGTAAAAAAATATGCGCAAATATTTTGTTGGGAATTTGCGTCAGAACAAAATACGCTGGACACCAGACCCAAAAATTAAAACAACAATAAACGAAAAGAATTTCAGTTATAATTTCCACTTTCTGTTTTATTTTTTTCATCTGGCGGCAACAAAATTTCAATTATTTAAAGAGATTTAGCTATTTCAAAGCGCCCCTATAAGCGTCTGGCTTGAACTATTTACACAGCTTAGGCAACAGTCGGGCCAAAAGCCTCAAAGCAACGTGCCTCAAAACTCGACCGCAACATTACATCAACTTGCCAGACGCATCAACGCCCAGTTTCAAGATGCCCTGCGGTCCCCCTGCACCCAAGTCTGCACCCAAGACCCGATAAACGTCAATCCCGAGCGTCAATCCATGCAGCACAACACATCATTATCCATTGAAATCGTGGTGCACAGAGTAAATGCAAATCGAATAAGATTTAATATGCAATTCAACCACAACAAACTGTGCACATTATTTCTGAGCCACCTCACACGCCCCTGTCTGCCCCTGTCTTCCAGCTACCCCCTAATTTAATCAAAGCCTCTGTTCAATGGTCAGCGCAAGAAACTTAATACTCGAGCCAAAACCTCAACATTTGCATTGAATTTCATTTAAATTTTCAAGCAAATAAACTGCATTAATTAATTTAATTTAATATATTGTATTAAATCTTAATGCGACCTTACGACTGAAACTTGTAGCTAGTGAAATATTGAATTATCTGACATTTGTATTTCAGTCATAGCTGTAATCTCCATATTATAAACATATATCAAAAACAAATAAATGCTTAAAAGTTGGGCGTACCCAACTAGGATCGACGAGCTGCGAAGATTAACCCATGTTCGACTACCTGTCCGTTTGCATGTGCGCTGAAAACTTATATTGAATATAAACAGAATATTCCAGTTAACCTTTATTCCATAACTTTTTTATATATTATTATAAAAATATATGTATTATATTATCGATTGGAATTTTTGCTTTATATTTGTTAATATGAAATTTAATTGATATTCAATAGACGTAGATACTTTCTCTGAGAGTTACGAATTAACAAAGATAAATGGTCGAAGATATTGATTCAATCAAAGAATCGATATCTTCCTATGAAGAAAACTGTTCTGGCCAATGCACATGTATTATTTACGATATATTAAAAAATTTTTTCCTCATCAAATAAATTATATTTTCGAGTTAAAAAGAGACCTTATTCATTCTGAAGATTTATGAAGCACACAAGGAGCTGCTGTGGTCCTTTTTTCTGCTCCTGCAACAGCTGGCTGACCCCAATTAACAGCATCTTCCATTGACAACTTAAAGCTTTTGCAATTATTTAACGTAAACATAAATGTAATAAAGAAGCACATATACACGCACGCACACACTGGCAGTCAACTCATAATATGGTTCATTAGCGTCCAGTGGGCTACTTGTGCTGCATGTATGGCTGTTGCCACGCCCACTTAATTGTCATTAATTACATTTATTTCATCGATGCCTCTTACTTTAAGCCGCATGCCGCCAAAAGGTGAAGCAACAACAAGAACTGCTCACTCCATTGAGACATAATTAACTGAAAGTTTCCACAACAACTTGCAACATTCGGTTGTCAGCTCAAGCTGACATTGCAACTGCAGCCGACAGCTGTAATAAAGCCGCTTCAATTTGTATAAAAGCCAAACCAAATTTTGAAATTTAAATCAAATATCTGAGTTCTATAATTGTATAATTGCAGTCAGGTTAGCTAATCGGGAAATATTTAAACGAGTGCATAGAATATGTGTACGTGTGTGTGTGTGTGTGTGTGTGTGTGTGTGTGTGTGTGTTGATATGGGACCGCCCGTTGACAGCGATAAGTCAGCACGTGTGATGAGTCAAAGGCGAACGCGCACATGGCTCATTAATCACATATCCAATTACGAGTACATTATTCCAATTCCATACTTACGCGCACACATAAGACAGAGAGGGAGACAGAGAGCGAAAGAGAGATAGTGAGATGAGGGAGCTGATGCCGTCTTTCTGCTTTGAGGCGGGGACCTGTTCATTAGAGAGTGGGCCCGCTTTAAAGGCCATACAATTTCTCTGTTTACCCGCGCGCTAATTGTAAATGGCAATCAGGGCGGCGCCCGGATCAGCTCCCAAGGAAGACAAAGCCAACTGTCGCAGTCGAGTGGCGGCAGTGGCAACGTTGGCGGCGACGTTGTCTAAAGTCGCTGCCTGATTGCGCCAATTGGCAAGCGCCCGGGCACGCACGACTGCCACATACAAACTTGAAACTAAACAAGAAAGCAAAGCTATCTTCGGCACGCCGAAGTTGAAATACCCACCTGGGCATATGGCTTAAAACAACTAAACATTTGGACATTTTGTATCTATGGAAATCATATAATATAGAAGTCCGATTCGGTTAAGAAAATAGCTAACCTTAAGTTTGTTAAGCTTGTTCAAGAAATATAAATTACAAAACTCATTGTCCGACCTGTTCTTCCTATAGGACTATATAATGAACTGGAGCATGATAAAACTAATAAATACAAAATTTGTTCCAAAATATATATCAATATCTCATGAGATGGTTACGTATGCTACCACTATGCGTTACACAATTGGTGACAAAATTGAAATACCCTCTGCAAGTGCATAACAAGAGACGTAGTCGCATCTCAGGCTGGAGGCAGACAGTCAGTCAAGCAGCCCGGGCAACTGGCAACTGGTAACGCACAAGGATATAGGCAAGGAGTGCGCTGATGTAACGAAACGGTTAATTTAGACGGCAATGACAACGACAACAACAACAACAGCACGAAAAACAACAACAACAGCAACAACGACAACAACAAACGCAGGCAGTTCAAAAGCTGTCAGCACAAACTAAGGCAGCTTTGCCATTTGCATAGGGGCGTGTGTGGGTCCAGGATCTGCAATTGAAATTGTCAATTGGAGAGAGTTGGGGCTGGGCTTAGAAGCTGGCGGGTTAAGGGTTGGGGCTGGCTGTTAGCTGCGCCCTGTCGCTTTGTTGCTGGATTTTGCAACTCTGTTGCTATTTAAAACATTTTTTAGTGTTTGCACTTGGAGCTGCTGGCAAATGCTTAGAATTTAATTAGCCACGCCACCCGATTATGGTCCATTTCGAGCAGCGAGCATGAAATTACATCTACCTCTCGGTAATAAATAGGCTATACACCATAACATGATGCAGCCTTTACACTCAGCCCCTTAATGTATTTCTTGGGCCAGACCAAGGGGTGCCGTCGTTTCTGTGCCTGGGTAGTTAACATTTTAAAAGCTGACTAACCACAACTAAACTCGATTATTTTATATGCCATGTATTTTTATATATATTGAATTAACACTGTTTCATGTTGTACAGTGTAATTGCTTTCAATTTATTTTCATATTAATAGCAACTGTATGGAAGTAGTGTTGTCTTAGCCAAAGACCAGAGCATGCAAACATCTCTGCCTTGCATCAATTGTTGTGGTTCCTCTTTAAAGACTATAAATACAGAGTGTTCTGTTTATAGTCATCTCTTCCTCGTATTAAGACTCTTATTCCTTATTATTATTTAGCCATGACATAGCCTTAGCCTGTATTGGTTTCTGCACTTCGACTTCGTTTCGTTCTCTATAACTCTCTATAACCTTAAGTCTCAATATACGATATATTAGCAGCAAAAAAATAATAAAAATTCTCGCTCGTTACTGAAGAATATATATAAGTTCTCCTTCAGTATGTTGAATTGTCACATTAAAAAATTAGCAGATAGAATAGTAATTATCACGTGGCTGTATTTAAATCAAAGCAACTCGTGATCAGTTATATCAATTAATAACAATCATTTAATGTATTAATAAAGAAAAAATGTAAATCAGGTAAAACAAAATATCCGTTGATCAGCATTTGACATCCAGATACAATTTGTAGAGTTCATAAAAATAAAAACCTATGATAGCTAAAAGCTATAAGAAAACTCGTGTTGTTACCACCTTTCTGACGTCGTCATCCTCTTCGCTTGAGTCATTGTTGACGCTGTCTGGCGATTGCGCTTAGCGTTGACACAAAACAATGGGCAACACTTCAGCACTTTCATTTTTCAGTAGAAACACTCGCGCACACACACACACACCACACACAGGCACAGAGCACACCATACAGCATACTTTTAGCAGATTTTTTATTTATTATTTTCATGCTGACAGCACACACACACACACACACACTCACATGCTCACAAACACACAAACAGTGGCAAACAATTTGCAACGTCGCACTCAACATGAAGTGTTGCGGTTTTTTGTGGCATGCTTTATATTTTTAGAAATTGTTTTTAGTTGCATGAGTCGCTTTTGTGTTTTCCGTTCAAGTTGGACAACATGGCAGCAGCAGCAGCAGCGGCAATAGAAGTCAACTGGACGCAGCAGACGGAGGCGTGGCTGCCGTTGATGACAGATAAGACGCATATTGTAAAACTTTTCTTTTCACACACACACACACACACACATATTTGCCACAGCTGCTGCCACATGCAATTAAATAAAGCACTCGACACACACACTCTCTCTACTATCGAGAAGCTTAAAAGTATGCTACACATTTTTCGCAGCCGCTGCGCATCTTTATTAATCGGGCCAAGCAATTTAATTAAAATCACTAACCAGCTGTCGCCTTTAGCAGTGTGGCGCTTAGCAGCGGTTTCGTGTTGCAGCACGCGCAGGGCGTTTCTGGTGGCGCCACCGGGTCGCAGCAGCGCTGGCACAACGCATCCATCGTCGCGTTATTCGCTTGAGGTGAGCTAATTAATAAATGCATTGTTTGAATAGCGGCAACAACAATGAATAATAAAAATACGATTATGCTTGATAGTTGTTTGCTTACGGAGGCTGAAAACTGTTCGCCCAACTTCCAATTGGCGCCACATAACGAACTCCTTGCGGCCAAGCTGCTGCTGCTGCTGCGGGTGTTGCGGGCGTTGCGGGTGTTGGTGTTGCTGCTGTTGCTGTTGCTGTTGCTGTTGCAGGCGACGCCAATGCGATTTTTGGCGCTGTTTGTAAATATTGTGTGTATTCCTTTTGTTCTGCTTGCTGTTGTTGCATCTGTATTGGTAGCTGAGTGTATTGTTGTTGCTGCCGCTGCGGCATATATGTCGATTGTGGCTGCTGCTGCAGCTCCTGCTGCTGCTGCGGCTGACGTACGTTGACGCCATTGAACCCTTGTAATATTTGAGGCTGTTGACCTGCCAGCTGCACAGGCTGTGAGTTCTCAAACACAAAAAAGTGTTGATGCTGTTGTTGTTGTTGCTGTCGCTGTTCCTGCTGCCAATTTGGCATAGTTTGCCTCAACAATTGCTGCAACAATGGCGCCAACGCATCGCTATCCGTGATTTCTTGCTCCGCTGCCTTAATAATTTGTATTGCTGGTGCACGTTGAACGTTCACATGATTTGGCAGCTGTGTGGCGCCACCAACAGCACCCTGTATATAGCTTGTGTAAGTCACACTGCAAGTAAATGGCTGCTCAATAGATTGCCCTGCTTAAGCAATGCCTATAGACGACCTACTTTGTTGTTGTCAACGTCGACGGCTTTTCAAACAACTGCGCCCCGATTTGACTGAGGCACACGCTCAACAGCAAAGTTTGCCAATTGAAAGGCATTTGAATAATATCTCGTCGTCCGCTCTCAATAGAACCTGCCACGCGAAAACACAGATATCAACTAACTATCGAGCTTTTGAAATAATAGAGTTATGTAGAAATCTGATGAGCGGCAGCATTGTTGTTGATCTTCGTTAATTAAGCTCACTTTTTTCTACCTTCTTTTGCATTTAATTATTGGTATTTGTTATTTTTGGCCAGCGTATATTTTAACAATCGCTTGTATACATAATTATATGTTCTCATAAATATGCATATAATGATTATTAAGTGCGAACAATCTAATTTGCATAACTTTGCGGTAGGTCTATTACAAAAACAAAGTTGCCGGAAACCCGATTGACGTAAATTAAATCGCCAAATATTATTCAGTAATTATTCAAATATCTTGAGAGCTACTGGATTGTTTATATTATTTAATTATTTACACATACTTCAGATACTTTTTAGTCAAACTTGCCTATTAAGAGCTTAGCTTCCCTGCTCTGAGACTCTTTCGATTTGTCTTTTGAATTCAGTCAGCGTTGCCTACAAAACTATATTAGCTGGATACGTGTAGACGATTTATTAGATACCCTCTACCACATTTTATTTATTAGCCCCTTTTAAGGCCCTTCCATTTTATCCATTTTATCAATAAACCTAGTTCTTCTTCTTTGGACTTAAAACCGTTTATTTATAAATCTGACATATGTCTATCGCTGATATTGTTAATAAGACACTTTCCATCAAATGGTTAAAACTTTATTTGGACACCCTGTTTAGGTCTTTAGTCATTTTAAATTAAGAGGATATAGCTATTTCTGTCAAACTGTAAATTAAACCTAAATAATGAGTCACTTCTTAGTCGCTAGTAGCCTTTTAAAAAAAATTGTATTCATCTAATTAACAGCCATTGCATGGCTTATGCTTTCACCCTAATTGAAAGCTCACAGGACACAGCTGCTATTCAATTCCTGTCAAACTGTCCGTAATGCAAGTACTTGAGTGATAATGCCTGTACTCTGACCTTCTAATATGAAATACTGACCATCCTTGCCAACGTTTACTGTCAAACTGTTAAAGGGCAATCGCTGATGGGCATCTTTCACACTTGGCAAACACAGCGTTCAGTCATAGTTTGGGCACATATGTATCTCAATGTGTGTGTGTATGGCAAATGTTTTTCCATTAAATTACATGCGTTCTGTCTGCCAACATGCCACAGACAGCCGCACAACTGGCTCGACCACCGGAGTCATGAAATTTAGTGTTGGCGGCATAATTAGACCATCAATTGCGGAAAACTCATGACAGTCATGAATGGGCGTTTGTGTGAGGCGCATAACCGCAGAGTTAGAGGCCCGACACACGCCTACACACACTCACACACAGGGACAGACAGCAATGGCGAATAAAGTAATATAGCCCAAAAGCATAAACCCATCAGCGTCGGAAATGCTGACAACGAGAACGCAACAACAACAACAAGAAGAACAGCATCAACAAAAGCTGGCCAAAAGCTGTTGACGCTGACCGTCGCTTTTGGCCGACTGTTGCTTACAGCTATAACGTAGGGATAATAGCACCACCAGCAGAAACATCAACAGCAACAACAACAATAACAAGTAGAGTGGTCTAGTCGGGAGTACCCTACTACCAGATACCCTAAACCGAGCAATGCGTTCTTTATTCTTCCCTTAGCCCCACACTGTATGAATTGTGAAATTACTTCTTGAATAACTTTTATATTCAGAAAACGATCTCTATGAAATTTGCAGAGCTTAAATGTGTAAGAAAGGTCAAGCCTCTCGATCTGCAGGCTTTAGAAAGAATTGCGCTCAAACACAATAGTTTCCGATCAGATCGACGGACAGACAGACATAGCCAGGTTGACTCAGCTGTTAATGTTGAGCGGAGATGCTTTCCTCTGCCAGTTACAAACATTTTCACAAAGTAAATCTATCCCTTCTTGGTCATTTACAATGCTAACAGGGTATAAAAGTCGCTCGCCATTTTGAAAAGCAAAATGCAAAGCACAAATGCTACTTTTGTCGCTCATAAATATTCACTTGAATATATTTGGGTTGATGTTGGCTGTCTGGTTGGCTGCTGGACTGGCTGGTTGTTCGCTTTCATTTTCAGTTTTTGGCCAAAAGGCGCAAAAGTGTGAAAATGTCGAGAATTTTTATGACTATTTTTTGTGACTGCCAGAAGTCAAGCCGACTGTGTGAAAGTTAAGCACATAAATTACATGAGAATTTTCGACTCTGGCCAAAAAGTGAGCGAAATTAAAAGCACATTGCCCCGAAAAACCGAAAACACTTACAAAAGCGTCGTATATGAAGTGTTCTTTTTAGTTAAATTACACGCTCTAATCCACAACTTTTCGAGTGGAGTATTGCCCAACCCTCTGCAACAGAACCTTAAAACAAACCCAACAGAAACGAATAGAGTAAAAATATAAAAGGCGACATTTCGTAAAGGCGCCAAGGGCCACCAAACAGAAAGCCACCAGCAGACAGCAGACAGCCCCAAAGACCTAAGCCCAACCACACACACAAACACAACAACAAGCACACACACCTAAACACACACACACACACTTAAGGCAGCTGAAAAGTATGCAAGGCATAATAATTCATGCTGATGGAATTGTATGCATGAATATGAGTTTGAGAAGATGGGGAAAAGTGTTGCGTCTGCCCTCAGCGGCTGAAAATCATATGCATCACGTGATTAAACGCGTCATGCATGAAAATGTAAAATATTGTGCTCGTGAAAACGACAGAAAGAGAGATAGAGAGCGGGAGTGAGAGAAAAAGAAACAGCCAATGCCTCGCGGAGTCAACGACTGGCGAGAGAGCGAACGCCGTATTCGCAAAAAATGAACAAAAATAAAAGTATAAAAAAAAACAGTAGAAAAGTAAAAAAATTAGACATCGCACGTCATGTTTACTTGACTTGACTGCAAAGCCTGAAAAACAAAAAAAAAAAAACAAAAACAGCTCGTGACCATCAGCTGGAGGGGGGCACGGAGTGTGGCGCAAGCGAAACGCCTGCATTACAAATTTTCCACAATTTTTTCTCATTTAAATGGAGAAATTGTGCGCTGACTGCCACTGACTGAGATGAATCTGGGCAGCACGTGCTGATATACCCTGAACTTGGCCAAAATGGTTGAGTCTGAGAGAGAAAGAGAGAGAGAGAGAGAGAGAAGGGGTCTGTCGCGAAGGCTAACTGCATTTAAACTATGTGCAGCAATTTGTGGCTCAAATGCAAGTAAATAAAGCATAGAGCCAACAGTTAATATGAAAATAAATGTGCACGGAAAGCATGTCCTGCGTTGAAGGTCAGCCAGGACGAACGCTTAACAGCGAGACAAATTTGTTTAAACTGAGACTTTTATCAACTAAATATATCTTAACAAATTATTTATTTCAGCAATATAAATGCATTAAAAGAAAATTGAACTTATTAAATTATGGTTTAAACAAAATTGGAACCAGCTTAGCAAAGTGTCTTAGAGCTTGGACTTGCTTGCTTTTTGGACTCAAGTTAAATTTGTTTGTAAGCTCCAATCAAATTTCATTTTATTTAGTTGGATGTACAGAAGATAAAATTTATGCTCACTAACTGTTGCTTATATATATTTGATTAATCATTCTAAATAACTTATAAATTTATACATATAATATATTTTATAGATAGAAGGCAAAAATGCATCCACATAATTTTGTGGAAGACTGCAATCCCAGAATTCCAACTTTTTACTAAAATACAAACCTTAAGCTGTGCAAAAGTAATAATAAATAAATATATATTTTTGGCAACCCAGCCCAAATTACAAATAGCTTTGGGCTGAACCATTGCATTCATTTAAACAAATTTGGTTACTGCCAAATTTGTTAATATATTAAATTTAGCCCGTACTGGTATATAAATATATGTTAGGCTTGCAATATTTTCAGTACAACGGGCAATTGTTTGATTGAATTGCTTAAAAACATATGTGACAAAACAAGCTTTAAGCCAAAAACTGGGGTTCAGCTTTCAGAACTGAACTGTAGGCAACGAATTGGCTCAAACCGTGATGATTTATTTATTTTATATTTGTTATTCAATTCAATTTATGGACCTTCCAACTTACTAGCTGAACATGTTCATATAAAAACGTTAATTATCTGCGCCCGCACATTGAAGAAAACGCAGCTTTAATGCGCATACGCCGCATAAGCCAGTTAGTCCATTTAAAAGCTGCTCTTCCTACCAAACATATGTGCATACAGATAACTCAGTGTGTACGTGTGCGCGTGTATAAGTGTATATGTGTGTATGTATGTGACGGCATACTTTGCCAAAAAGTTTTTGTATACTTTGTGCAAATTTATTACTGCATTTTGTATATATCATTCAAAAGGCGGGCAGAGTAGAAATTATGTCAGCCAAAGCAGCTAAAAGTTTAAGTTTAACTACTTTTCTACGAGTTTTTCGTAATGCTGCAAGGAATGCAACGAAAAAAAAAATCAAGTGCCAGTGCACGAGTCTACCCGACTACCACTTACCCTGCACGAAGCTTAACTGTTGGTCCAATCAACATACGGTTTAAAGTTGTCAGGTATCAATTGTAATTGTCTTAAAAAACAGCAGTTCGCCTTTTTCAATTCAATATGAAATTCGTTCGATCGCAAAGTGGACACAATTGTCAATCGCCGGCTTGTCCTACTATAGTTGCCAAAATATGCCAAAAATTATGAGTCCCTTTCAAGCCAACAGGGTATAAAAAACACACACATTAAGTGACACAGAGGGAAAATGAGAGAGGGAGAGAGAGAGAGAGAGAGAGAGTGAGATAGATGCAGTGTGGGCAACAGAGATAGCACACATAGTATGAGAACTTTCTTTCTTCATTTGGCAGTGCGCACAGTTTGTCGCAGTTGCCGCTGCCATCAGTGCACTTAGCTTTAGTTGATTATTTTCCACTTTTTCCACAGTTTCTTCTCTATTTTTTTTATGGTTCCTGCAGCCTACGTGAATTGTGACAAATTCTCGTGTC